AGCTAGTGTCACTTTGAGGGGTGTTTCAGCTGCTTTAAGTTATGCCTGTGGAGCCCGTTTCAGCCCCAGCTGGCCCACAATCAAAAGAGAAAAGGTGCTATAAACCCCTGCTCTCCTCAGCATAAACTTGACACAATAGCTAGCAGCAAACATTTGATTCTATTTCATTATCTAGTTTTATAAACCCATAATGCACCAGAATGAATGTTATTTTTCAAGGTTTTCTTGATGTATTTACATCAGACTACTTTTGTTTATTGTTCTTTAGTTACCTGAAACTGTTTTTTAATTAGAAGATATATTGAATAGCACTAAGCTTTTATTTTCTGGATATAAGTTATTTGTTTTTTCTTTAATACCTTCTCATATAATAAATAGAGTTCTTAATACATCTGTTGCTGTGAAAAACACAGTAGAGTCATTAGGCCAGGTCCTAAACAAGAGCTTCTCCCATTGGTGTAGGTAATCCACCTCCCCAAAAGGTGGTAGCTATGTCGACAGGAGAAGAAGCCTTCTCATTGACATAGTGCTTTCTACACCAGGGATTAGGTTGGTATAACTATGTTGCTCAGATTTTCCAAACCGCTTAGTGACATAGTTATTTTGACATAAGTTGGTAGTGTAGACCAAGCCTTGGAAAGCTTCATAAATAAATGCATTGGGCCTGATTCTCCTCACATTTACACTTGTTTTAAACCACTGTAACTGACTCATTACTCTTGCTCTACACTGGTGTAAGTGAGGCAAAGCAGGCCCATTATATTCAGTGCTGGGCAAAACTTTCATAAAACTTCAAACAGGATCTTATTGCAGGAGTGGTGTGGAATCCTCTTCCATGTCTTCAGCAGTCTTCCATCTCCACTGAACGCTATAAAGAGGGTTAAGATAGGTTAGGCAATACCTTTTTATTGGATCAACTAGGGTTGTACTTTTGGAAAGGAGCAGGGTGCAAATTTTTCTTTCCCCTACAGGAGCCTTCTTTAGGGGAGCCTAAAATAATCTTTCCTTCCTCTATCCTTACACAGGTGTTGTCAACTGGGCAGAAGAGCTGATTGCTGTGTCTTGTTTCCAGCTCTCTTCCCCCCTCCCTCTACCAGTACTGGCTTGGAAGCTGGCTGCTATGTTGTCTGTCCCCATTATAGGTCTCTGATGACAATAAGGATGCTCAATGCAGACTGCTCTCCTTTAATGGGTGCTATTGTCCTTTTGGAATATCAGTAATGCCGTTCCTGATAACACCAGGCCAACCCACCAATCTGGCTGGATGTAGTATATTACAACGATCTGTCAACCACTAACACCTCTTTCTGTTCTATGACTCTGCAGTTATAGGCGTTAACAGGCCACTCCACCTTGAATGGTCCCTTAGAGTACCTGCTAACTACTTATGCTAAAGAGTCTGTTCCTTTGTTGCACTTTGCTGTGATGCTGGGAGTACCTGAGCTCTGTGTGGCTCTTTCACCAGTAGAAATTGGTCCCATAAAAGATATTACCTCCCCCATCCGTCTAGCACATCATTGGCTAGACATCAAAGCACAGGCTGGGCACGCAGTCAGGGGCCTGAATCTGGCTGGCCATGACTTGATCAGTGGGCATGGGGAAGTCTCTCTGACTTCACCCGTCTCCGCTTCCCAGCGTGTGGTGCAGACGGTCACTGCCGCCTTTGTGACGGGCTTTGCAATCGGTCCAGGTCTAGTGTCTGGACTGCTCCTCTTCCGCATATTTGCTCAGCTCCCTGGCTCCCCCGCATCGGCGTGCACTGAAGTCCACGGGTCTGAGTCAGTGGGGGAAAGCGAAGCGGAGAGGGCGCTGGGGAGTGGGAGCCGCGGGCTGGGCTTGGCTGAGACAATAGCGCCACCTACAGCTCCCGGCCCAGAGCAGACCAAGCTGCGGGGCTGGAGCTGCTCGGTGAAATGACGCGGACTGCAGCGCTTCTCCCGGCAGCTCGCCCCAGCCTGGCTCCGGAGGGCCGCTCTGGAGCTCCTCGCTCAGCCACCTCCCGTCAGAGATCGCCCGCCCCCCCTCCCCGGCTTTGTCACTGCTCCGCTTCCCGGCTCTCTTAGCGTCTCCCTCCTGTTTGATCTCCTTCCCCCCAGCTCTGCTGCTACCCCTTCGCCTGCCTCTTCCCCAGCCCAGCGCTCCCCGAGGTGGGTGTCCACGCCCTGCCCCATCAAAGGTTGCTCTGTTGTTGAAAGCCGCGGCTGTTTCCTCTCCAGCAAGCGCTGCTTGCTCAAGGCGGGACTCAATGGGCCTATATATGCTCCCTGGAGTTATAAATAAACGCCTATTTGTTCTGGAGGGAGGCATGTGGTCCAGGAGCTGTCTTCTCCACGGTTATTTTGTAGTAGAGACTGTGTGTGTGTGTGTGTGTGTGTGTGTGTGTGTGTGTGTGTGTGTGTGTGTGTGCGCGCGCTTGGTTGGTTGGTTGGTTGGTTGGTTGGTTCTAATACTGTCCCCTGTGGTCCACTCCTCAATCCCCCCAAAGCATTCCTGTATATAAATAGAGCCAGCTTGTCTAGCTCCCAGCAAGGGAATTATAATTGTTTAAATTACCACAAACACAAACATCCCATACATATCAGGGCAAAACTAAAATGGGAGGGCTTGAGGTCAACTTTATTAGATGTCTCCTCAGCTTTGGTGCCTCATTTATGAGGTGGGGCCCATATTCTACTTTATCCGATGAACAAGAGTAAAAGATGGTTCCTGTTAAACTGTGGCCCCCAAGCCCACAAACTGTACCATCAAATGGCATTAAACAAAAAACACAACAAACAAACAAGACACACACACACAAAACCCTGCACTCTCAGGCCTGAGCATGGCAAAAGCCTGAACCAACACCTGAATCCAGCCAAATTTTGGACCTTAGCCCCCATATCCTGATGTCTACATAGGTTCTATCTGCTCCCATAGCACCAAACAATTCTAGCCCCTGATGCATCCGAGAGTATCAGTGACATAAAACATGGATCTGACAAGAATCCTGTGAGATCCATCCAATTGTTGGCTTTCCATTCATGAATAGAGCGCAAACATAATCATTTGATGCAGTAGGAGAGATTCTAGACCATGATGTCACCATCATCTCCTATAAAAGAATTCCAAGCATTGTGTTTCAGTGAAGTGACAATAATCCAAATCTGTCATCTTGATCTGTCTAGATACAAACAAATTTCATTCCGTAACATGGGAATTTTGCAACGGGATTGGTCTATCAGATGAGAATGATCACATTCTATGTAGTTTTCGTTGATCCACTCTTGACAGAGATTTTCAAAGCAGTCTAGGGAAATTAGAAACATCTTCCATTTAAATATGTTTACAATTAATGGAAGATGTGTTTAAATCCCTTAGATCTTCCATGATTTTTAATCCCATTTAAATGGAAGATGTCTGTCTAGACTACTTTGACACTCTCAGGCTGGGTCTACACTACCCGCCTGAATCGGCGGGTAGAAATCGACCTCTCAGGGATCGATTTATCGCGTCCTATTGGGACGCGACAATCGATCCCCGAATCGACGCTCTTACTCCACCAGCGGAGGTGGGAGTAAGCGCCATCAACGGGAAGCTGCAGAGGTCGATTTTGCCGCCGTCCCTACAGCGGGGTAAGTCGGCTGCGATACGTCGAATTCAGCTACGCTATTCGCATAGCTGAATTTGCGTATCTTAAATCGACCCCCCCCCCCTGTAGTGTAGATGTAGCCTCAGTGGCATAGGATACAGCTTTTCTGCTGTAAAGGGATAGCTACATTTACTGTCTCTCTAGAAAGAAAACCTCTTTCAGTTGAAAGATATGACCTGGACCTTGGGGACTCAGTCCCCTATTTGAATATTTTCAAGTGCTCATGTGCCAGAATGTATCAGGGACCAGTTTTTTATAGTGGAAGCAGAACAGCTAAACTTAGTTTCTATTTGTGCAGTAAAATTTAGAGGTTTGTGGTAAAAAATTTGTTGGATCTGGCAAGACCCCGGAGCAAGGTACATGCATTTGTACTAGTCTTGCACCAGGATTTGTGACTGTCTGGAATTTTCTAGTCCAGTAGTCTTGACAACATGTATTGCCTATTTTGATGGTACAATTTAGGAACGTGGGGGCCAAAAAAATGGTAAGATCCAGCAGGCTTCAAGTGCTGGTATTCTGGTGATGCATCAGCATCTGGATTTCTGCAGTGGAACTGCAGTAATTGCACTTCTGTGTTTAGCTGGTAAATTGGGGGGCTTGGGGAAAACATAACTGACTGAATCCAGGTGCTGGATACATGTTTTGCAGTGTTAATGTGCCAGTTTCCAACAGAGTCTGAGTTTTCTAATATAGCAAGCTGATACATTTTTTCTCGATTTAGACAGTAGAATTAGGAGTGTTGGGGTTCAGACAGGATCCAGGTATCAGATACTGTTTTTTAATGCTATTGGGCCAGGATGCAATAGGATCCCCGCCCCCTGTAAATTAGAAGCAACTACACTTTTTTTCTATTTAAATTATATGATTTGGGCCCAAAAGATGCCAAGATCTAGATGAATCCAGGTGCTAGATCTGGGTTTGTGTACTGTTCATATGCAGGGACAAAAAAAAATGGTGCAGTAGTAGCATCTAGATTTCCACTCATTTCATGTCATGGAATTTGGCATAGTGAACCAGACAACCATTGCATGGATCAAGCAGATAGGTTTTTGCAACGCTCATCCCACATGATGCATCAGATATTTTTGGTGCCCTAGGAGCAGCTAGGCTGTTTTCTCTTTAGGGAGATAAAATTGGGGCTTGGAGCCAAAATGTCACCAGATCCAGGTTTTTGTGACACTCATGCCGTGGATCAATGGGGCTCTCCTTTTTGTAACAGTTGGGGCTTGAGTTGTTCTCTGGTTTGATTGTACAGTTTGGGGCTTGGGTCCAAGATCCAGTTAGATCCAGCTTTCCCCTTCCCCTCTTATCTCACCGCTTCACTTACTTTCTTTTCCAGAAAAGAGCATCGTCCCATCTTTAGATATAAAGAGGGAAGGAGCTTGGGGGAATGGAGAGACAAGTTGTGCGAAGTATCGTGTTTCGGAGGGTGTCAGGCACTCTCACTTGAGTGATCCCTTCCTGTGAAAAAACTCTGACAACTGCTCACTTTGTTTTTAACCTGGGGCGTGCGTGTGGTGTGAGGGAAAATTTTAGCTGCTAAGGGGGGGCAGGACATCAGGACACTCGTAGAGAGGAGGACGTCAGGACAGATGTGAAGGGACAGTGCGCTGTATTGAGACGCCGCGGTGTTCCAGCCTCTCTGGGCACTCATTCCTGGGGTTTGAATGCATGTTGGGCTGTAATTAAGAACTCTTGGAGGCGTACTTAACTTGTGACGTGGTGCTTTTCTTTCCCTCTCGGTGAGAAAGTGGCTCCCTCTTCCCTGAATCAGGACCTCTGCCATCCAGACTCACAAAGAGACATTCTGGACATATCTTACACACACGCACACACAAACTTAAGGTGAGCACCAAAAACTTGCTCTGCATTTTGTGTCCTCCGTTTCCAACTGCTGGGGAGTTTTGAGAGCATCTTAACTTTGGAGCTCTGGAAAAGGTAAAAACAAAACCATTTTTTTTGGGGGGGGGAATACTTTCTTTCAAATGTATGGTATCCAGCAGGTAACGTCTCAAGGCATCAGCTATGATGGTGTACTAACGGGATTTTGAAGAGCTCTAGTTTGGCAAAAGTGGGAGAGAGGGCTTGAAACTGACTACCCTCCGTTTATCTGACTTTAAGTGCGCTGTGTTAATAGATGATATGAGAGATCGTATTGCAACCGCAGATTCTGTTTGAAATATGAAAATGGCATAGTTTAGTCCACTGGCTTTCTCCTGTGAGACTATACATTTCACAGAGATTAATGTTTCCGAGAGGTAACTTCCCCATCTGTTAAAATCCTGTTAAAAGAGTTTACAGGACTTGGGAAGGGGAGGATAGTGTGAGTTGAATGAAAAGCTGAAGAACTGTGAATGTGTTTGTCCCACCCATTGCTTTAGGAGTGATCGTATTAGATGGGAAAAGAATCTGGTATGATCCATCGTTTTTTCAACATATTTTGCTATTGTCAACGGAAACGTGAGATAACATATCTTTTGGGCACAGGCTTCTTTATTATCTCCACTTTAACAAGAATGCTAGGTTGCTATAGTAATATGAAAGTTAAATCTCTGAGATTTATCGATGCTATAATAACTATTTAGCCTCAAAAATGTTTATTTGCTTTTAATTGTTAAAAGTGGAAAACTCTCACTCCAAATGCTCCTCATGCCAAAATCAGAAGTGTTGGCTATGGATGGTTTAGTTGGAATGAACTTGTATAATGTATTCGAATTAAGTTGTCATATTGCTTTACATTCCTTTATCACTGGAAAAATACACAATACAGACATTGCAATTAAGAATTTTCAGTGTGGAATGTGTACATGGATATGTATGTATGTATGACGTCATAAGGTCAAACATTGAGGAGTTTCTTGAAAGTTAGCAGTACTTGAAAAAAAAAGAATCGTATGAATTAATTTCTTAAAGCTGAATGCAATATTGATTAATTACAAATGAACTTTACTAAAATGTAATGAGTTTTTAATATTTATGCAGGCATGTTTCATTGAGTATAAGTATGAAGTTAGCAATAAAATTTTCATTAGTTTTGTTAATGATAAGAGAAACTTGACATATGATATTTGAAAATGCAGATGCTGAAGAAGTGTAACTGGTGAGGGTACACCCTCTTGATAAAGTTTTCTTAGGAGCCAAGCTCCACTGAGTTTAACTGGCTAAGGTTCTCGCCCATATGTACAGCCTTTTAATGTAAAAAACTAATGTAATATTACATTTCAGATTAGTTCTCCACCGAACTGACAATCATTACAAAAGGGGAAAATTGAGTTCAGTGGAGAACAACTGCTTTCTTAAGTGAAATAAATAATAAAGTCAATGCAGTAATCAAGACATTGCTGGTCTGCAATGAAAATGAGCCAAAAGGCCTGTCATCCTAATAAGAGCTCTGAATATCTGAGGCCTTTGAAAGGAGAAACACCATTTTGATATGAAGTGAAGCATTTAGCTGCAGCAATTTTCTGATTCAGAGAAAAGACTGACAGTATAATTCAAAAGTATTGAAGAGTAAAGAATCATTTCATTATATCCCTGATGGGTTATTTCCTCTCACTTTCTTTTGGCAGGGTTAACAAAGCTAGTGCTTGTAAGAAGGGTCTAGGATAGTACACCGAGTTGCGCTTATACAGGAATGGTTTCTGAAAATACAGATTTGAGAGGGTCCTAACAGCATCCTTGTTGTTCGCTCTGTGTGTAATAAGGTGGGAAGGACGTTTTCCGGCAGACTGGGAAGACTCCAGAGTCTCCAGAGTTAATGTAGAAATGTGACAGGAAAAGGGTTTTGGGGTCTCTAAGCATGAGCTTTGGAGCCAAGAGAGCTGAATTCAAATCCTGCCTTGCTTTGTGACCTTGATCAATCACTTAACCTCCCTACACCTCTATAAAATGGGGGAAATAACATTGGTCCATCCTTTATGAAGTGCTTGGAGATCTTCAGGTGAAATACAAGTGCAACATGTTATTTTTGGTATCATATATCTTAATCATATTGAGAGATATAGTAAGTAATGACAAGAACTAAACACTTTGGTCTGAATTAATATTTGTTTCTTTTTATATGCTTTTCTATTGAAGTGGTACATAAATTATCATTAGATGTTGCAATACTGTGCACTTCATATATTACATTTTTAAACCAACAATTTGTCAATTAAAATCCCCAGAAAATTAAATGTAAATTTTTGAAAAAATCATTTTCAGATTACAAGCTTCTTCTGTTGCTTGTAAGGAATTATTAGACATTCTGGCTCCACTGTGAGTAACTGTAGAATACAGTCATGCACTTGAAAAGGTAGTTTGTAATTTGTAGGTAACAAAATGTTCTTTGGGGTAAAAATGTCTGAATATATTTAGGATTTCAATCAATGGCATTTAAGGAGGATTAGAGGAAACAGCTGGTTAAACAAATATTAGGTGTGGGGTGGATGCAATGGTATAAATTAATAATGCTGTTCTTTATTTACTCTATGAATGGGAGGTTTTGTGAAGATAAGATGACTTAAACGTGGTCACTGTATGCCACCTAGTGGATGTTGCAAATTGGGCTTTCACTACAGTATCATCTTCTATTTTTTTAACTATCCACACATCTGTAACTAATCTAGTGCATTACTTAACAATAACAAGTCAACTTTATTTAGTTTTAGCATAAGAGGCACCAGCTAACTTTTTGTGTGTGTGTGAAATGCCAGTTGGTTGCAGTAAAGATCAGTTTAATTCCAGTTTAACATAATTTGACACCAATGGAGGTTTAGCTGTTTCCAAGGGGTAATTAAATCATGCAGTAACTAATACCCACAGGTTTAGCTGTTTCCAAGGGGTAATTAAATCATGCAGTAACTAATACCCACAGCTCACATATAGTCTGGCATTTACTGTATTTTAAGCGTATATTAAAGAAGTGAAGTGTTTAGGGCTTTTGTGCTAATATTACAACAGGAAGGGATAAAGATCAGCAGTAAGTATTTCAAAGGTACCTCTAGCAGTGCTTCCAAAAACTCCTTTACCAAGCAGAATGTGGTGCTAATAAAAATATTGTTTGCCACTAAATATTTCTTTCCTTGCCAGCAATAGGCAACGAAAATATTTGACCATTTCCCCAGAAAAGGGTCCTCAGCCTCTCCCCCTTCCTTTTCCTGATTCTCCCCCCATCTTGTTCCTCTCTGCTCCCCAGCCTCTCCCTAATGTTCTTTCCTTCCCTTGGACTCCTCCATCTCTTCCCTTCATTAGGGAAAGGGAATATGTTTCTTGGTCCACTGGTTTCCTCATTCAGGTACAGATCCTCAGTTGATGTAAATTATCATTGCTCCATGGAAGTTAATGGAGTGGTGAGAACTTATACCAGCTGAGAATCTACCCCTCAGTCGGCACTTTGGGAGTGGACTTCCAGACCATGTAATCTTCTGGCTACCTGCCTACCCATAACCTGTTCTGGAACTCAAGTGGCAACCACTGAAACCTGGTCTATGGAGCCAACTAAGAGTCTCATTTCTGGGAGGTACAGCAAAGCACCCTCAAATTGTATTGGCTCAAATGAGTATTGAGACTACTCAGTAAATATCTTGTGGGATCAGGCCCTATACACTTCAGTCACCCCTGACTTTTGTCACAATCTGAATAGTAAAGGAAATGGCATTGCTGACACTGTATAGAATAAATTGTCCTTTTCATTCACGGAACTTCAAAACAGGTTCTTTGTTTCTCTGTAATTAGCACAACAGGGTGGAAAACTTGAACATGATCAGTTGCTCTGAAAACAAACATTTAAAAGAAGCATTAAGAAATCACAGAACAGTAATCTGTCTGAAGCCTCCACTGAGTGCTTTGAGAAGTTTTCTCAAGAGCTGTAGTAGGCTGTTAACATGACGCCTGAGCTAATGGCTGAAGCCAGGGAGAAATTTGCTCTATCATGAATCAGGTGAAGTTTACCAATTTAAGTTGCAGAAGATAAAATGGCTCATCAGAAAATGTGCTAATTGATTTGATTGCATGCTTCATAGGTGGAGTAGATAGATTTAAAATTTTTATTGAGAATAGTTGGAACCATGACTGGGAATCAAACCCGAATCGAAGTAAAGAGAATCCTTGCTAGGCCTTAAAGTCTGTCCCACAGTGAAGCTTTTTTACTAATGGCACATTGAGCCACCGTCATTCTTCTGCAGCAGTGCACATCAGATGTAATGACAGAGTCTACATCATTAATCATGTGATAGAATGGAAATAAAATCATTGGAACAGAAAATTGTTACTGGATATGTACCTCCTGCTTGGGAAAAAAATGTCATCTTGACATTTATCTAATAGCAAGAGACCATTATCTTGCAACAGCATTCCATTAACAGTATCTCTTAATTATTGTAAAGGCTTACAGGATATAAGGAACATATGGGCAATGGAGACAGGTTAGATTAGAGATGTGTTTGGCAGAAATCCGAGAAGCAGAAAACAAATGCTTTGATGGAGAAGAGAGAAGAATTATTTAGTGATGGTTCAAATTTAGGGTTGATCATTTTCAGCCCACATTTTTACAAGGTGATGGATGTATTAAAGAAGCCTTTCATTTTTAGTGTTATGTTATGTTACCAATATTGTATTTCTTGGTGAGTTATCAAATCAGCTAAACTGTATCAAATAAAACCTAATTCATTATACTGAATTATAATGATATCTACAAAAGATGTATAATATATTTTCTTTACTCTCTATGGTGCCTTACACATGGTAATACCATATATATGTGTGGGCATATATATGCGTGCATATATATGACCATGTCTGAGGCATGGTAATATATATGCACGCATATATATGAATATATATATGGGGGGGGAGGGGATGTGGGCCTTCCCTTTTGGAATGTGTAATTTGTTCATCAGATCCTGATGATTGAAAATCTATTGTTTTAAATTTCAGGCTGTTGCTGGTCTTTGGTTTCC